CAGATGTAATAAAAATAAATCTTTACATATTAAACTAACAACCATTCATTTATCTCTCCGTCAATCTTGGGGTTAGAATTGGTCTTTAGCAACCTAGCAGGCGAAACAGGCGACTAACGGGATCGAGTGATCAGGCCTGTACACTTGGTTGATGCATGGCATTGTGTCCCAGCTGCGTAAATCGGTGCTAATGATGTAAATCAATGATTTGTGTTTTCCAGACACGGTTGTTATATATTCAAATCAACAAAACAAACAAACTTCTCAAGTGTCTGTGAGCTATATCCACCCTTAGAAGGATTAATCATAAGAGTCAGAATAGGTGCGTACAGGTGCGCTCTTTTTCTAATGAGCCGTCCTTAATAGGTCGACATACATGTACCTCATTGGTGTATTGAAATCAGGAATTGAAACTGAAATAAGGAAATAGACAATGTGTCATGATGTATGAAATATACCGGTTCCTCTTTTTAGTGTTCCTGGCGTGTCCGTGTTCTTAATGTTTCTAAATGATATACATCAAATTTTGAAGCTGTTGAGATATTGCTGAAATACTTCCAACATGAATTTGTAAGTTTTAACTCACTCACTCACTTACAACTAGGTCGTTCTTATCAAATTGTCTTGTGCGCCAAATGTCGCCCTTGGTCGACCAGATCGATGTTCAAGGGTGTTTGTCTGTAGACATCCTGTTTGTATTCGCTGTGAAACTGTTACATGTTAAGAGCTCATGTCATGATGCTCTTCGAACATGCCAATTTCCAAACACACGCACATGCAAGACATTTGTTTGACCTGAAGGGGATGTGTACACTCAGAAATTAAGATTAATGTATATAGTCAAAATCAATTAATATCAATGATTGAACTGTTTTTTTCTTTTATTTTTCTCACACTGAAGGCAAAAGGCTTAACATAAATGTTGAAATGTTTTGAGTATAATGAGACCTTTGTTTTTCGAGCTAAACAGACCAGAGTTACCACCTCCCCTTAGCTTATGACAAATACGAATCGATATAATCAAAAACAGAATCGTAACTTGTGATATCTTTTCTGGTTTGGCTTTGAAACTACAAGGTAGGTACACGTTATGTTGAAAATGTGCATGAAAAACAGGTTTGTTTTCGTTCCAACTTGCCCTTTAAAAGAAACTGAAATCTACGTAACAAATCAAACTAAGGATTTGCATCGGACATCATTTCGTTTTGAATGCTGTAACCTGGAATAAACAGAGTAGTCTGAAGCTCTTTGTTGGAGGAGCAAGCTCAAATTGTAAACTGTAAATCAAAGATTGTGAAATGGAGACACGAAAGGTGCAGCTCCTATTGCTCGATACAAAAAGAAACTGGGAGACAACGTTCGGTTTTTTGTCGAAATTGAGGTCTTGGTGGGAGTAGTAAGTAGGACCTAATGGGAGATTCATCACCTTGATTACAATAATGTAAGTGAGAGGTGGGTACACTTTGATTTACGTACTGAAAATTTCATACAAAAAACATGACATAAAAAACACTATCAGATGCGTATTACTTAATTCCATATGATATAACTATAAAAGAAAACTCACAGAAGGTCATATTTGTGCTTTAGAAACAAGGTTCCTGGAAACATGTAAATTCTCAGAGCAGGTCCTTTTTGGAAAGTAAGACCTATGTATTGTTGATGTCGCTGCAGCTGCAGCCTTAATTTCAAGTACTTGCCCAAAGTAGAGACACTCGAAAAGAACCACGAAGAGGTCAACGGAGATGTGTAATTCTCGACGATGGAAAGTAACCAGCTTCATGTATATAGATTTTCGGTAAACCTTAAGCTACAGATTAACTTCTCTGCAAAAGTACCCTGCTTTGATGTTGTACTAGCTCATATGAGAACCGCTCGTGAAGAACAATGAGGAGACGTCAGTGGAATTTTTATTATTATAGCTCAGGCGAGTAAATCAATGGAACGTCTCCGTCAAATTCCTTTGTTTGATGTTGCCATGGTGAGCAGATATTCCGAACTATATGCTCAAGAAAAGAGATTTGTTAAGTCTGCAGCGCAACTACTGTCCATATACTAAATTTCCTCATAGAATTCTTTTTGTTATGAAATTGTGTTGTCGCTTTCATTGTATAATTATACTTTTACTTGCGTAATAGATTAAATCAAAGCGGTAAACGTCAGTTACATTTCTCAATCAATTTGTATATCAAGATGGTAGGCTGGGATACATAAATAAATTGCCCGAAACGCAATTTGCAGTGTGCACGCACTTACAGATAAATCAATATGCACCCACATTTTTGGAATAAAAGTGGACAAATAGATGTCCAGATTTAATAGACGCAACGAGTCTCACATAATAAGGTTTTTATGATCTTTACGAGTAGTCATATTTCTATGAGGATGGTGGGGAAGCCCAGTGGTTAAAGGTGTCTCGCGTCACGTCGAAGTGTGCGTAAGTGAGTTGAAATTTTACATCGCATCAACAAGTTGTCTATAATTAAGTGTCTCTCTACAAAAGACAGTAAAACAGTATCTGAGTATCACAGTTTAGGTATAAATTTCAATTCAATATTAAAAATATCACTTACTCAGAAATTTGGTATAAAATATATCTAGGCTATACCATTCTTTGAGTGGTACGTTTAGGCTATACTACACTAGCGACCAAAGTTAGAACACCTTCCGGTAGATCGAGGGGACCTACGGCACTTCTGATTCCTACATGATTCAAAGGAGGATTTATGAAAAAGCAATTAAAATACTATTTGATGTCATATATTTCAGTTACGTTGGATCCACGTGCTACTGTCGAAGACCGGGTTCGATTCGCCACGTAGGAACAATATATGTGAAGCTCATTTATTGGTGTGATACGTGATACTGCTGGTGTTAACAGCGGCACAAAACCATACACACACCGTCATATTCCTATTCAGGAACAAACACGGTTAAAAAGAGAGTGTCCAGTTTTAATATAAGATTCAAAGTTGAGAAATGGTCGCATGTTTTGATGACGCGTGACAACATAAACCGATTCCCATGTGTTGATGTTGTTTTATAATTTTCTGAAAATTATCATACTTGCTGATTAATTTCATTGTGCTAGCTAGACTGGTCCTTTGTGTGACAGCCAATGACACGAGCGTTGTGTCATAACTGCAGTGCGCTGCTGTTGAAAGGGAAAGGATGCTGATGACATGATACTAGTATTTCACGATGAGGATGAACAGCCCTGTTACTCTCCCTAAACGCTATGTATTGATCGCTCTTCACTAAAGCCTGAATTCAATCACGATGTTGTACTTGTACGTGAGAGGTGATTTACGATGTTATTTACAACAAATGTGTGTTTGACAACAGGGAATGTTAACATCCTAAATACTTACATATCTGAAGTACTTCTCTATACAACATAGTTTCCTCAAGAAACTCGTCTTTTCTCCTTTGTGCTATGTCTATTATGTTCAGCTTTGTCTTATGTGTGTCAGAGAAAATCGATCGATCAACAGGAAATCCGTTGTATAGGTGTCTGTCTCTTAGGCATGCCTGACACTTACATGTATGGTCGTGGATTCGAATCCCAGACTGTCACGATCATGTTCCCTACATACTGAGTTCCATCTAAGCAGTATGCGTCTCTTAACATTGGGCTCTCCTTCAGCACCTTGCTGATATGTCGTGATGTAAGTTAAGGACTAAATCATTATGGTAAGACCACCTTTCTCGAAAACGGATAATCTGATCACTTGTCGATGGTTACCACGTCTTCAAGGTGTCCACACATCCGATTCATAGATCGGTAACCCAGGGATCGTTTTATTGTATTCTTCAATGAAGGATTAAAAACATTTTTTTGCCTAATAATATGAACAATTGGCAAAGAAAATGGTTTAATGGATATCCCCTGCAACCGTTGCTCTATGTACCGAAGAAGGGGACGCACGGAGGTATGCGAAATAATTATTTGGCACGTAGAAAATATCGTATTAATCACCATTCCATTCAATCTGTTGGCGGAACACTTTGTTCGAACTAGGTTATATATATGGGAAAAATCTGCTTATTCGTTGATATTGTAACGTGTGTGGAAAATAGGAAGAATATGCACTAAGTTGGTAATGCGCATTGTTTTTTTTAACGTTCTGTGGACTATTGTGCAGTTCTTCACGGAGCGTTTCTAAAATGTGTGAATCTGATATTTGATGCCCAGGTCTATTTCCTAAGATTGCGCATTGTGTGAATCAAATAACATGATTTTGATGTGATCATATATGTGAAACACATTATGAACCTCAATAGTTTTCGCCATGTCCTTTCAAGGTATTAATCCAATTTGGCTCCTATCCGGTGCAGCCTTGACATGTTTGCGTTATGCAGCATTAGCTGGCACAACTGACCGAGTAGTCCTCAGCAACCCACGCTTGTTTTATCAAGCGATTATGGACCTGAATGGCCAGGAATGGACCAAGTAATCGAGCTTGACTTTAAACAAGCCAGCGAGCCTGATCACCCAATCCCATTAGTCGCCTCTCACGACAAATATGAGTTCCTGAAGACCAATTCTCAGCAGGTAGGTGGTACGTTAGGTCACGGGACTGATTGCATGTAATCTTAACCTAACTTTGCTCATGATGTTGGTCACTTGATTGGCTAACCAAACATCATCATTATCGTCATATGGTTGGGCCATTGGTGACTGGCACGGGAATGAGTAGGCAACTCAAATGTATCTAAATTCGTACATATGTACAGTCAGTAAGAGAACAGTTTGTCATCTCACATGTGTTTATATGGAAAAAGTTGTAACACTTTTTATGGATACAGACATAACCTGAAATATCTCTACTTCACAGGAGAAATCACTTTGCGTGAAAATTAATGTACTTCGCGTGACTCGTTGCCGCCATTTAGATAATTAATAGTGTTTGTGCGAATATGTGTGGCTTTGGAGTCATATCTGGTTACTGGTCTACAAACTTATATGAGACGCCTGAGCGTCAGGCAGGTATCTTCAAACCTACACAATCTAGTCCATCAGACTCGCAAACATTGTTTCGCTTGCATCCTTCTGCGATGTTTACAGCGTATCAGAGTCAATAAGCTTTCTGGAAGAGAAGCATCCTTTTCTCGCGCTGAACAGCCAGCAGAACAGGCGCGCTTGATTGGTCGTCCTAGATCAATACGGAATGTCGAGATAGAGGCTGCAGGCTAGGTGTTTAAAGTAAGATCAGGACAACGGAGAAGAGCCATGTCTGCGGAAGACTCTCTAACTTCTTCCTCTTCTTTGGAGTCTTACCCGCATCCCGCTTTATCTTTCAATACGGTGAGTCGACTTTTTAAGACTTATGGAACATTGTTATATTATTTAAATATGTCCAACATTTTACTTGATCTAGGTATTTATAGAGATAGTTTTGTAATAAAATATGTGATTACTGGATTTGAATTCAGGAGGTGTGACCAAAAAAAGGTTTTAATCGGGTTCAGAATTCTTATATAAATGAATGAAATTGTTTTGTATCATTCCCAAGTTAACACGTTTCTAGTTCATCAGTTTGTTAATCTGAGTGTACATTATGTGACATAGCCATTCTACCTCGATTATACAACCAATAGTTTGTACCCCTAGTTTCCACATGTTGTAGTCAATACCTTGTTTCATACGAAAAGCTTTGTTAGCTTTTCCGAGCGAATAGACTATACCACGAGAGCAAGTCTCCTAAGTAAGTAAGTTTTCCTCTTTATGGACCCATCTTATTGATACCAGGGCGACGGTAACACGTTGTTTCGCATGTGAAAAAAGATCACATTGGTTCCATAAGTGTAAGGTTCTCCGCGATGACATAGTGCTGACAGGTATCTGTAGTGATTTGAGAATATGTCGACTTTCTGTAACACAATTCGTACAATATCATTTAAAATATTGATTACATTAGGACTGAAAGACCCGATGCAATGTATTTCTGACGTAAACTCTTTTGTATGGTATTAATATCTGTATAAGAATAGAAACTGAAACTGAAACTAACTTTTGCGAATGAATTTCTTAGTTTATCACACTTTCGTGTGTCTGGAGATTAAGTTGTGTCCAGTAGGCAACATCTGTGTTCTTTTGGGCGGCTTAAATCACTGGTATTCTTGTGCAAACTCAGTTATTTACTGATCGATGCGACACGGCTGTAGTTGGTGTTCCCTTGGATTTAAGTTTACGCTATTCACGTATTTCTATTCACTCTTTAACGCCAAGTAATTTTAATAAATAGGACATGTCCAGTGCTTCCGATTAAAACTGACGAAGCAATAACCCATCTTCGAACTCATCGGTAATTCATTTGATGTCACATTGTTATAAATTTTGATCGGGCCCCTGTTCATAGATGACTTGGCCACACCATCTGTGCTGACAGTGTTGTCATCATATGGAAACACCCTGGTTCAGTGCTCAACATCTTGCATGCATACAATTTCACTGTCGATAAAAAGACGCCTGTCTTTACATTTATACCATCAATTTCCAATCACTGTTAATGCAGCATATTTAATGTATGATGTCATTGCGCGTATATATTGATTATATATTACATATTGATCCTGTAAACTTGCCAATCACTCTGTCGCGGTGTCTGTAGAATATGTAGAGGATGTCCTCGTATTGATTCCGTGTAGAATCAAGTGGGACCAGTGCAACATCGATGGAAACTACATACGGCGCCCTATGCAGTTCTGTTGAAACAACGTAACATCAACGATACTTATATGTGTAGTGTGGATCTTAAATATATACTACTGTGTGTGTGAGTTAAAATTTATCGTCACATCGGCAATATTTCAGCCATATCGTGGCGAGAGAAAATTATACGTTAATAAAGAATATATTTAAGCGATATAAAATGCTGTCGCCAAAGGACAGTACAACAACTTGATTATCACATTTTATTTAAAATTAGTTTGAGGGCATATAAAATAGTAAACTTATTATTAACAACATAATATAAAGATGGGCTCGAGGTCGCCAGCAACCAGGGTCAGGCCGCGATACTGGGAGCATTTACTACTGTGGTAAAACCCAAAGGTGTGAATATTGTGCAGGCAAACAAACCTCCCTGGAGTATCCTGCAGATACCGTTGTCTATCAACCGTTGACTGTCGGGGAACTCACACGCATACAATTTCTGTTTGCTGTTTGGCGCAGGAAAAAAAACCCCAGTAACTGTAATAATGTTGTAAGAGAAAAAATATGACAATTTGAGTGTTACAGTTTCCATATTATCAAATTTGTGCGACCTGTTGGGCGTAAACACAAATTCAATCACAACCACATAATTGTCACATGATTGTCTAGGGAGGTGGCACCTCATCGCTGTGCCAAAATTATGTCTTCTTGTGGGTATTATGACTACTAATAAAATACCGTACGTAAAACGGGGCGGTGGGGTAGTCAGGTGGTTAACGCGTTCGCTCGTGATGCCAAATATCCGGGTTCGATTCCCCACATGAGTACAATGTGCGAAGCCCATTTCTGGTGCCCCCCGCGGTGATATTGTTGGGATATTGCTAACACATCCGTACTTACGGATTATATTTATACTTTGAAGGTCGAATTCTAAATCCGGCAAAATAGTGCCTGATCGTGTTTGTAACGGATATGGATGGATATTTGCATTACGTTGATAGGGTTTTGTCGCTTCTCTTAAGATGTTTAGATCGACAGAGCGAAGTCTAAGGTTTCTAAGTAATTAGGAATAAAGTAGCGTGCTCCTTGAGACAGGATTATAGTAGCCTGTGTTTGGCAACAGGCATAAAGTAGCATACGTTTGGAAGCAGACAACAGAGTAAGGTGTGATTTAGAAGGCATGGAAAAGTAGCATGCGCAAGGAGGCAGGAATAAAATACGTACGTTTGGAAACACACAACGGAATCATGCGTAAGACGACATTGACAAGAAGTAGGTATTAAGAGGCAGGAATATTGTCGCATTAGTGTGGAAGCAGAAAATGGAGTGGTGTGTTAGACGGTATGGGTAAGTAGCATGTGTTAGGAGGCAGGAGCGAAGTGGCATGAGTTTGGAAGCAGACAAAGCAGTCATGAGCATGAGAAGGCAGGAATAAGAAGCATGTGTTGGGAGACAAGAATATAGTAGCAGAGTCATTGAGAAGGCAGGAATAAGTAGCATGTGTTGGGAGAGTGAGTTGAGGGAAGCATGTGTTGGGAGACAAATATAGTAGCATGAGGAAGCAGACAAATGAGTCATGAGGAATTGAGAAGGCAGGAATAAGTAGCATGTGTTGGGAGACAAGAATATAGTAGCATGCTTTTGGAAGCAGACAAATGAGTCATGAGGAATTGAGAAGGCAGGAATAAGTAGCATGTGTTGGGAGACAAGAATATAGTAGCATGCTTTTGGAAGCAGACAAATGAGTCATGAGGAATTGAGAAGGCAGGAATAAGTAGCATGTGTTGGGAGACAAGAATACTGCAGCATGCTTTTGGAAGCAGACAAATGAGTTATGGGTAATTAAGGAGGCAGGAATAAGTAATATGTGTTAGGAGGCAGCAATAACGGTAGTTGCGTTGTGACTGAAATGTATCATGTTTACATTTATTTGAATTCGGCAAATGCCTTTCAAATCTTGATGAAACTTTTCGCAGTCTCGTAGCCCATGACATTGATGATATATAGGAAATCAATGGGGATTTGAATATTTCACAACATGTCGGATATAGTCGGGGCGGACGAGAATATGTGGGGCAAATCAATACTTGCTAATCTGGTACACCTGCTACGGATATAAACATACGTCAATAGTGGTCAATACATCACGCACTCTTCGTCCAGAAATACATGAACCGTATGAAAAGGTTATCTATGTTGATTTACTCACATTGACGAATGCTATGTCGTGACGCAGTCATTTTACTCTTACGCTGAGTTTGAAATAATAGCCTGTAAACTTGTCTGCCACGTCAAGATAAATCAGACGTTGATAACAGGAAAAACACGAATCATTGAGGTTGAATCAGATTCACAAATCCATTTCCTTTCTCGGGTTGTACGAAAAGTGTGCCTGTCCCGGCAAGTTAGAATTTGGAGTGATCATAAATCTTCGCTCACTCTTTAAGTGTCGCCGAATGCCTTTAAGGCTTTTCAGCGAGTCCCACCTGTGGAGCAGCTTGTGTCCATCGTTTCGTGAACATTTGTTTTACACTGCTGGATATTGATACCTAAACATATGCTCATGATATAGTCATAATCGTAAATTGACTGTTGTTATGATTATGGAAACGGTTTTATCTCCATTATCTTTCAAGTGAGTGAGTATTATTTAACGTCACATCGGCAATATTTCAGCCATATCGTGACGAGAACATTTGACATGAAAATTTAATAGATATAGATATTATAAAAACCTGCCGACGAAGGACAGTAAAACAACTAGAATATCACAATTTGAAGTAAAACTAGCGTGGGAACTTTAAAACTAATAGCACTATAGGGACAATACAATATAAAAAACAGGCTATAGATCGCCAACAACAGAAGGTAGATCACCATACTAGGGACCCATTATCTTTCAAGAGAAAATCTACGTTCCGACACTTGTACTGTTTGTATCTGCATCAATATGGGCTGAAGATTTGTTCCGATCCACAAATCGTTCGCAGCGATACGACCTATCGTAACTCTATACTACATCATTGGCTTACAAATGACGTAGTGATACGAAAGCTTTATTGTTAGGGTCCCAGACCAATTCCTGAAAACATCGGAATTAGTTGTTGCAAGGTCGAAATATTCAGTTTTTGAAGGAGACATTTCTATTGATAATTATCCATATGAACACAACTGATTCGTACATGTATTTCAATCTCATATTTGTAAATAAAACATATCCAATGGGCTCAAATGTGTCTTCGTCCATATCCGTCACTGCGCAATTAGGAACGCTAAAGAGCCATATGCGAATGGCATGATTTCGTATCCAAGCTGTACATTGTTTTTCTTTAAAACCTATCGAGCTTTCTTCGTGTAACCCTCTTATGGAATTATCCTTACGTCGGCGATCAGTCAATATACCGTTGACAGGCTCTGACATCGGGGCCATGGGAAAGGTCAGATAACGTCGATAGATCTTATCTATGGGTTGTATTGACAATTTGTATTAGCATCCTGAAACTATCCTGGAGCGTAACATGAACCGCATCCATTCATCATTCAGAGTATTCTGAGTAACAACGGTGAGAGAAAAACTGTTTGTGGCAATGTTTTTCTTCTACGGTTTTCTAAAGTACACTGTAGTAAAACATCGACTATCTGATACAGTT